AGTACGTATATATATATATATATATATATATATATATATTGGATCCGATTTCCATTTTGGTGCTATCTTTTCCTTTGGCATGCAATCTTTGGCAGACTTTAACTATGAGAACTAAAATATATACATAACACAAATCCCGAGCCTTTGATTGGACGATACCTCTTAAATTACCAATATGGATTTTTCTTATTCTATTGTTTCTATAGAGAAAAGGAGCAAAAAGAGAAAGAGCGGGGATCATATGCCTTTTTCTTGTTTCTCCACCATGAACAAGTCTAGCAATACCATAGACGTCATTTGCGCTATTAATCACTAAGAGTATACAAATTCCACGGATGTCCCTACACCCATCACGGACAGACCTAAATCCAGTGGATAAATTTTGAGAATAATATAAAAAAGAAAAAAAAATAGCGTTACTGACAAATACTTGGTCCAAAACCTGATGGTAGATTTGGAGTTTTTTTGTGCTCGAAATGAAGCATTTTTTTTAAATAAATTGCTCCATAGATATGAACAAAAACTATCGGTATGAGTGCTTATGCACTCTCAGGATGTCAATTTTTTTTTTTTTAAACAATAAAATCTAACTTTTGGAGAGCCAGATTTGGGTGCTTAAGAACTTAAAATAATTTTTTTTTTTTTGAAGATACTCATGTAGGGATTCTAAATGGATCCCCAATTTTCAGATAAAAACATTCAACCTAACAAGGCCTTTTAGGCAAAGAATTAAATGTGTAGTATCCTCCAAGTGGGGTAAGGTATGCATCATCTAGACCATTTGAAAGTTATTGGGGTCAATCAAATTCTGGTAAAGTGTAGTTCTTGAATGTATTACCGTCGTTTTTGTCGATGGAACCGAGTATGCATCTGGGGTGCCGTGGTGCCACAATAACTTTTCCCAGAAAGCAATTCATACTACTTCAATGGTCTAGTATGGGCTGCATGCTTATCATCAACGGGAAGAAGTTTTAATTGCTTTGAAGCAGTCTGCCAGGACTAGTGTAGGAAAACTCAAACCGAAATGGCTAGCGAGATATGGGCCGGAAAGCGGTTTAACCGACCTAAAAAATACAAAAAAACTAAACAAAATATAAAAAGTATATTTAAAGCATGATTAAACGAAGCACATCCAAATGAAGTTGAAAATCAATGAAAAAAATGGATTTTAAAGAATCGATTTGTGCCTAAGAGTATTTTTGAAATTTTCAAATAATATGAAAAAATGTAAAAAAAAATATTAATGGCCAAAACAATTTCCATTCTTTGCCAAAATGATGAAAAACAATAAAAAAATACATTGTAAACAAAATCCCTTATTTTTTGAAGTTGTTTTAAAATACCGGCTGGTTCACCAAAATCGGTCGAAACTGGAACCAGCCAGTCAATGGTTCCAATCTAATCAGGCGGTTCCGGTTTGAATCGCATCTTCTTTCCTACACTTGTCGGGACTTGGATGTGTCCACTCTGTCACAACCGGAATTCTACGTGTGTTGTACACGTCTGTGTACATTATATATATAAATATGTCTACTTAAACGCAAAAACATCAAACCGGCCCTTTTGGTAGTACCCCGTCGCCATGGTAAGGGTTTGAATCCCCCCTCCCCCGGATGCGCACAGTGCTCTTTAATGGAGAAGAACCCTCTCTAGGAGAGATTAACATGCATTAATGGAGAAGGGGAGATTAAACCCGAGATTAAATGGAGAGGGGGACTTATTGTGCTTTTTACCCAACCCAGGAGATTAACAATGCACACTGCCTAATGGAGAAGGGAGATTAAACCCGAGATTTTAATGGAGAAAGGAGGCTTATATTGTTCTTTAATGGAGAGAACCCCCCAACCTAGGAGAAGGCATCGGCAACGCTCACCACAAATGTTCACGGGCATCCAACCCTATTTTCATGAAGATGGGACGGTGGAGATTAATTGTTGCCTTATCGAAATATCGTTCTTTAATTTCTTATATTTATAATCACGTTACACTTTGCTCTTTTCTTATATTTATAATCACGTTACGCTTTGCCCTTCTAGATAATGAGCTTTGATGGACCAAATTTCATTAGCATCAGCTTTGCAGATTCCTGCCATTTTAAATCTCTTTTTCAAAGAATAAATAACGGACACGGTTTTGGTGAGTCAGCTGACTCACCTATTACCATTCGGTCCTTTGTCTATCAAACGCCCATCGCTGAGCTGGATTGAAAAAAATGTTATATCCATTAAAAATAGACGATGGAAAAAGGAATTCAAAAAACAATATTTATATTTTTTGTAAAAAGAAACCTTCCAAATTCCGATCATTGTCATGGTTGAGATTATGAATTCTAAAATTTTGAATTGAAAATATATATTTCGGAGGGATACCAATCAAGAATAGGTGAGTTGCCGACTCACCAAATACTTTTCCATGAATATCACTTGTAAATCTTCCTTTATTCTTCCTTTATTTTTTTGGGGGCAAATAAAGGAAAATGTTTATATAGAACCGAGGCTCTAAACACTCAAATTAGAGCCCAGCTAAAAAATTTCACTAATAAAATCACAATTATCAATACTATTTGAAGGTACGCTTTATTTTGATTGGTTAGAGCCTCGGCTCTATACAAACCGCACCCCTAAATAAATAATAATACTTGAATGAACCAAATGGGAGGCCAAACACCCAAGAATCATCATCCACATTTATATTTTTCAAATTAGTAAAGGACCATCTTTATTTGCTGCCATTCCATCCTCAAGTTCTTTACGTTTCCCTTCACTTAAAGTACAAAAAAATACTCCCAACTTTACGACCCATAAAATTCCATGGAATTGGTTCTCTCCTTTTACAAAAGGCATCCCTATCTTTGCCAATACTATATCATCTGTCCACTATTTATATGATGCTAACAATAACAACACATAGAGGATCACAATAAACAAAAATTGCAGGTTTGAGGAGAGAATGTGTAGCAGGAAAAGTATGGAAGTGAGGTGGGAGGGTGTTGCAGATGGGAAGAGATGGGGTATTCCTTTGAAGGAAGATGTGTCCTTGGAGGATGATTTTCCTCCTCTGCTCTTCAGCTCGATGTTGTTCGAGAAGTTCTTCGATCCATCGGATGCTTTTCCCTTGTGGGAATTCGAGCCAGACAACCTTTTGATCGGCGATACGCGAGCTGCTATTGACTGGTTCCATACTAACACTGAGTATGTCTTGAGCTCCGAGCTGCCTGGTAAGTGAGCTTCCTTGTTCTTTTAGTTTTTCCTTTCTGTTGTTATTCCACATTTTATAAAATAGAAGATTTTAATTTCTTTGCATAAAGTTCTCAAATTTTATGCTTAGATCCTACATTTTTTTAAAAAATAAAAAATAAAAAATAAATTTTGCAAACTATTTTTTATTCCAATTTTGCAACAGTTCTATAGTAGCAACATGAGATCCTTAGTTTTATATTTGTATAGCAGTAAAAACCTTTTTTTCTTTTTTGAATTTTGGTTATCTCTAGTGTTTTTCTATCAATATCAAAGTGCTCCATACGTGGAATCTTTTATTCAAGTATAGAGAAGTTCAATATTAGCTACTTAGAATTGATTTATACTTAAAAAATTTATAAGCATCAAGAACTTCGAGTCGCTAATATCGAATGCTCCATACAAAAAATTGCGCAGTAGAGAGCGATTCGTATTAGCAACTTTGAATTCCTACTATTCCTTTTTTTATTGCTTGATTTAATTCAAGTTTACCAGATTTGAACAGATCATAATGATTGCACTGTGGATTGAAAGAGATAATATGATAAGAAAAAATAAAATTTTTTGGCTACAACTCCAACCCAATTAAAAAAACAAAAAATAAATAATGTTGTTCTATGTTGCTAATATCTTAGAAAATTTTCTAAGTATAGAGTCGGTCCACTGGTAAATCACTTACAGAGACAGCCAAGAAATGAAAAAAAATAAAATAAATAAATAAATAATTGGTTCAATGTTACTATAGGTGGAAAAATTAGAATAAGAAAAAACTAAATTAAGCAGGAAGAAGGACCGCAACCTAAAATTCGGGATGTGCACCACGAGATGATATGCAATTGCTTGTTGATCGGTACGTAAAATTTCCCCCTTTTTTTGACCGAACTGCCACATGAATCTCATTTGTGCCATTGAGACTTGGAGACCATTTGCGATTCTTGTTTTCGTTACTTTTTTAAAAATAATTCAAGAAAAATCGTTCCTCCTTTTTTTTTTCGCTTGACAAGGTCGGTCGGAATCGGTGAAGAGTTAGTCTAACTCAGTAAAAACTTGTCGGAATCGGTAGTTTCACGAAAAAATATGCGATTCTACTATTTGGATCCGCCCGAATCCCTTTTTTTGCCTAATCCGAAGCATTCTGGGTGATTCCTGATCCAGATCGCCCGATTCCAGATCAGGTCATCAATTTTTTAAACCTTGGTTAAGAACACAATTCTTACTCTATCAAGTTTTTTTGGGTAGTTCAGTACTACAAATTAAACTTAAGATGTAACATTGCTTAATGTCAACTACTAGGCACTTAAGCCCAAGTCTAATTCCTAGATACATGTTGGGTGAGGTTTTTTTAAGGTGCTAGCCTTATACTATTGAAGGTGCACCTCAAAACTACACCGAAAATGCAGTTTCGATGCCACAAAGCCTTGGGATTGGGATGATATGAAAAATCTATTGTTGCCCCTAATTATGAAACTTAAAGTTCCAAAAATGGTGATGATCAAATAGATCTATAAACACATGAAAATGGACGGTCCAGATAATGTGTTAGATGAACTATTTTTAGGACTAGAAATTCCCTCGTTTTCATGTATATGAATCTTGAGGTCGAGATAATCAAATTGAGGGTTTTCTAGCATGGAACAACCTTCTCTAGTCGGTTTTTAGGTGTACCATACTAGTACAGTATAAGGTCGACACCATCTATGAACTTACCACAAATACACTTTGTACATGCTTATTTCAAGCAGTTTATAGCAACAAGAACAATTAGACATTGATGCATTTTTCAAGGTGCGTGAAAGCTAAGGATAACATCTACAGTTACCTAGTGGTACTTGAAAGGGTACGGTGTAGATATAAAAAAAAATTCTTTACCTCTACACCAGCAAGATCACTTACAATGTCTAATTATAATTGAACCAATCTTGAAATAAATAAAATAAAAATAAAATCGGTTCTCAATTGCTATATCTTCAAATATAATTCTTTATTCAAGAAACAAAACTAGACTTTTTTGCTTTATGGGAAGAAAAGAATATATTTAAAAATATAAAATTGCCGTCAATTATCTCAACCGGGCTTAGGACACCCCACGCCGAGTTTCCTTCTTCCGATGGTGCTCGGGATCTATGATCAGTATGTTGATTTCCCTACTAAGGCAAAAAATCACTCAATCACTTAATCTTGATCAAGCCTTTTAGCTTGATTTTAGAGAGATGAGAGATGAATATGAAGAGAGAGACAGATCTACAAGGGGTTCCACCCCTTTACCACCCATAGAGAACATAGGTGATGCGTGCCATCAAAACATGGTGCAACTTGGAGAGAGATACAAATTGGGGGCATTCATCCCTTTGGTAATCGAAAGCCCTTTCCAGAGATAGCTAAATTTTGGGGTAGTAAGAGAGAATTCTTAAATAAAGAGAAGAGAACACTTATATCATATTATGATGGGAGACCTCATTTTATAGATTTTCTATGTCATAGATTTTGCCTCAATTGGTAGGGTCACATCTCAACTGTCCCTCTAAAGAGACTTGTGGGATGAGAGATTTAAGTCATCCATCTCTTTGAACACCTTCAATATTCAAAGAAATGAGTTAGGGTCTTATTCTCCCTTTCCTAAATCTATTCCCATAAAATAAGGAAAATTGATAGTTTAATATATAAAATCCTTAATTATTAGATTAACCAATCTTAATTCAAAGATTTAGTAAATAATTCAAAATATTCAACCTTATCACATAAGTTGACTATACCTAAAAAGATAAGTCAACCAAGAGGATAATATTATTCCCAAGAAAGTTACTTGAATGGGTGGGGCGTGGCCCCTTTTGGTGGTCACGTGTAGGCCTCACCTAATCCACATATTTTTAAATTTTGGGTCCCATATTTTACGGAGGTCTCATATATTTTTAGAAAATATTTTATTTCATTTCATTTTTAGAATTATTAAATGTTATATTTTATTTAAAACATTGAAAAATTAATTTCTCTTAATTTATAAATCCAAATGATAAAAATAAAATATCATAAGATTCACAAAAATTCTAATAAACATTCTAAAATTCACATAACATAAAATTAATTAATTTTGATGGAAATCGGATCTGTTAGATCTAGGAAATTATCAATATATGGGAGCACTCTACCTTCAACTGCGAATCACGATCCGCCAAGCTTTCTCAAACTGACCCAGCAATTCCCTTGACCCACAGTCCACTGCAGGGGCTTATGATTGGACCACCAACATTAGCCAATAGACTAAGGGACACAATCCTACTTTATCGATTTCAGGTTATCCCCTAAAGATAAAAATCATGGTCTTTCAGACCATGATGCAACCATGACTCTATGATGTATAGGGGTAATCTTTCGCACATGTACACACTTTACCTTCATTGGTGAATCTCAAAACGGCTATCTATGTACATATCGTGGGATAATATAACGATGATGGTTTAGCCCTATCTCTAAGGTTTATTTATCACACGCAAGGGCCACATAGTCTCTTGGCTCTCATTTGGGTATATTATGACCTTATCAAGGGATAACTCACTAAACCCTTCTCGGTATATCCCTATGCCCAAGTATCTTGTGTTTTTCCAAACCTCGGCTGGCCTAACTCGTCGAGCCTAGTTCGGGTATCAGCAAATAACATTTGCCTAGTATGGTCTACAAAAGGACCACACTCCCACTGAGTTATGTGCCACTATATGAAATGCTCATACAAGCTCTTATAAGGCCTTTAAAGGTCATATACACCCAACATCTCTTACTTGGCCTTTGAAGGCCTTACATTCTTTCTTCATCACTTTCTCTCATCCCCATCTGTCTCTCCCAATCACAATCTCTCTCAATACGTCAATCATGGCTTTTGTCATCAATCTTTTCACAAAAGGACTCATAGTGGCAATGCCTCTTTCTTTTTGTTGTTCGGATCTCATCCCGAAAGTGGTAGTAGTCCATCTTTCATATTGCATCGCGAATCATGGACTTGTTGTCACAAAAAAGCATCACGTATACTCATCGCATGGGCTCGTATCCTCATGAGCTCAAAAGAGTTATTCAAACAAGCCGCTTTTTTCTGTAGCCATGCAATGAGCGCCGCACATCTGGGTTCCATGGGTGAGCAACGCCATAGTCTGTTGTTCCAGCTGGCCTGTCAAACACTAGGAACTCCTACTGGAATATTTAGTTTTATACGCTTGGAGTTACTATGGAATCGTGGTTCCCTTTTACATGCATATCGTTGCCATGTTATCGTAGAAATCCTCATTGCCTCATAAAGCACGGGTTGAAAATCAAGTCGATTAAGAAATTTCTTAATCCATACGACCTCCTTGGCCACCAAATAGCACACACCTTCAGGATGGACAATGCCACCGCATCCTGTTTCTTTGACTACCAAGAAATTGTTCTCCCTCCAAGCATGAACACGTATCTAGATGTAGACTTCACATCATCTGAATCCTTGAGATAACTTTCATCTGTATATCTGAATATCCAAGCAGCTAAAAAAAATGTGGGATTGTAGCACTCAATTATTGTACATACAATATATATATTCTTATATCTATATCATGAGGTAGCATAGCAAGTCTCATGCAATAAGTAATTAAATGCCTATTGGTTTCACAATATGCAAAACCTTTATAAACCACAAAGGTTCAACCACACTAGTCATCTTGGTAGTAAATCCATACAAACCAAGTTATCGAATCAATATCACATGTGTCAAGGAAGCCTAGCAAGATAGCCTTCCTACAACATTCCATATGGTTCAAGGTCTTAGGTATTTGAGGATTCTAAATAGCTACAAACATGAATCAAGGCATATGGGAATTTAAAAACCTATGCATGACAATTTTTCTCCCAATTTTATAAATACCTTGAAGGCATAATGGTTTTATTCCTTTTAAAAAATTGACTTGGCATATATATCACGTTAGATAATAGTATGATGGTTTAAAATGATTTTCTTATA